CGTGATATAATTATAAATTATATAGCAAATAATATGAGCTAATTGGCTGCCATCGCGATTATTAAATTTTGATTTTTGTATTAAGATATTTAGAAAGTAGTTAAGATATTTATTAATATATTCATATCTTTCTAATTTTTTTTTATAGTAATAAAATCCATGCTTATTTTTTTAATTTATTATAGTTGTAATTTAAATTTTAGTTTCTTGACTTCTTAAGACTTGTGGATGAAAGTAAGTTTTTTTTTTTTTTATTAAGAAGGTACGTGGATTATTCATTTCAAAATGAAAAATTTGATTATGTAATTCTTAATCTAAAAACAAATAGATTTAGAGTAGTAGAAATCGGTCAGGAATCTGAAAAAAAAATTATATATGCGATGTAAGTTTTTATTTATATATATTATACTAAAAGATAAAGAAGAAACACTTTCTTTTGAAATATCGATATTTTAGAAATCTATTTTATTCTTTGTCGATAATAGGAAAACTAATTTTTCCTCGGTCGGTATTTCAGAATATAAAGTATAAATTTCGTAAGATAAATCTGTATAAAATTTTGTTTGTGTCTAATCTAAATTAGACAGTATATCGTTATAAGATAATTTTTTTTGATTTTATAGATCATTTTTTATAGATCATTAAAAAATTTAGCATTTGAACAACTCATATATATTTTAAGAAAATATATTTGTTTTTATAGTGAGATAATGTAAAAATATACATTTAACTACAATAATATCGAGTTTTTATAATTTTTTTGTGTTAAAATTTTCTTATCAACTTTTTCAGTTTTTCGTTTCTTGTTTAAAGTTTTTTGAAAAAATTTGATGTATGTTTGGAGTAATCTTAAATTAACGATCTATCATTCGTAGTGAAGATTTAAGAAAATTCTTTTATTTATCTGGAATGAAATATATATATTATATTTATTATATATTTATAATATATTATCATTCCAACATGTTTGTGTTGTAGAAATAGAATAAAGACTAACATTTAAACGAATGATCTCCGTAACTTCAGTTTCCGATTCTACAACGATCTTTAATCTAAAATAACATTAATGATACAACACGAATTTCTATTCTAAATCTTCTATTCATATATATATATATATATATTTTTTTGTTTAATACTTATATATTTTTTTGTTTAATACTTATATATTTTTTTTTGTTTAATATTTAAATTTTTTTTTTTTCGAGAATCGAGAACAACATAAAATCGTATCAGTGAGAATCTTTTTTCCTCGCAAATTAAATGTCAGCAAGCGAACAAAATTCACCTCGAATATATTTAAATAGTTCCATATTTAAAATTGTATCTCGCCAACCAATCAAAGTTATCAATTTTTCTTATTTGGAATATTGCGGTGGAGGAAAGATAAATGGACCGACAGAACGATGAATAAAAAGAGAAAAGGGGATGAACAGTTTGAGGTGGATGGATCGGTAGCCATCGGTCGGTGGACGGTCGCGAAGAGGTGACGGAGGGGCTGGGGGCGGAAAGCGTCGAGAAGGCCCCGCGGCGCCATACTGAAGAGGGGGAAGCTGCCTCCACCGTACGCGAGTAGCAGTATGCTCGCGCCGCGGATACGCGCCGCACGTTCCTCGCTCGATCCTTTGCATACAGTGAGCCAGAATATAGAGAACATCAGGGGTTCAACGACTATGCTATCATATAAATCGCGTATACTCGCGCCACTCGATTTTCCAATTATCATCGATTCGATCTCGATTCAACATTACGATCTATTTTCTCCGTCTAGCTGTGAAAACATGACATTCAACTACAATCCTCAAAGAAACTCGAAGATCTCACGCGTTAAACTTTGTCGGTGTTTGACCCTTGCCTCTCCTTCTAATCGTTTCGCGGCCTGACACCTGTCACAGCCAACTCTTTCGCCAAACGATTTACCACTGTACTATCTCTTTTCAGCGAGTGTCGCTCTATCGCTTCTTTTTCGGCTTATTATTCGTTTTAATCATTGAATGGAAAGTTGAATCGATGAGACAATGCTTAGAAATGGAAAAGGGATTAAAAATTATCGTATGCCAAAAAGCATGAAAAGATTTTAATACGCGATGTTTGAAAACGATCAAAAGATAAAAGATCTTTTTCTCTGTTTATCTGATTTGAACGATAATTTAATTACACGTTTTTTAGTAATTACACTTCATAATAAAGATATTAATCTTTAAAAAAATTAACAAGTATTACGATATTTTTGTAGATTTCGCTTATCTTAGAGATAAAGTTTTTTTTATTTTTATTGTAAGTACAATGTTTGAAAATTATTGGGTTTTTTCCTATTTAGAGATAAAGAAAGGGCGAGGCAGTCGATCGCTTTTATATTTCGATTCTGAAACGGCAAGATGGAGATATTGGATAGGGAGGGGCGTAAATTTATAACGGGTTTCTTTCTTTTCGAAAACACGTCGTTGAACTTCTTTTGATCTTTTTTATTCGTACAATATATGACAAATAACTCGTGATATCTTTCTCGCGTTTCCTTATCGATACAAACGTGTCCTATATTTTGTTCCGTTTCTGTTTGTAGCACATATCTTCGTATTTTCATTAAGAATATAAAATGACATCCTAATTGTGGATATCGGTGCTTCCGGTGAAGAACGATCAAAATCGCAAAATTGTTCGAATTCGTGCGCCAACGTGCGAGATTTCGCGCGATGATGTGGGCTGTCTGATAAAACGTGATCGTTGCAAAAAAAAAAAAAAAACAGCTCGTGATCAAAGGACGTTCAAGTCTTTCAGCAAATTAGAAGGTGAGTAATTTTATGCGAGCTTCCCTTCTTTTAGTATCGCGATATCAATGCTCGAATTAAAGACAAAGAAATTCCAGAGTTTTCGCGAAATTTCAAATATTTGAAAAGATCGGTGAAATCATTGTTAGCGAGACCGGTCGAAGCGAATTTAATCGATAAATTCGGAAACGAGACATATAATGTTTAAGAGTTCCTTGTCGTCGAAATCGAACAAATAATGGAATAGTTCCGGGTAACCGTTCTATAAAATCTTTTTATCGAATTTCCGAGTCTTTATCTATTATTATATTCCACTTAAACGCTATTAACATTCTTCTTCTTGAATCGGTCGTTAAACAATGGATCTAATCGAACGATAAAAACGGACAAAGCGGGCAAGCATCGTTTCAACTTGACATAACGTCGTTTGTTAAAGATTCAGTCGCACTGATTAGCACTAAAAAGACAGACTGTGATACGTTACTCGAGAAGGACTTAATGCGACGATAAAGCGAAATCCCTTTATTGTTTGGATTGAAAGTAAACCTGTGTTATCCGCTAATTACCCGCTATAACTATACATAAAAATATTCAAACTAGTTGGCAGTGTTTGAATTTTCAACAATTTAATTTTTTCAAAGCGCACCTATTATAATTGTCTTGTGTTTTTCCGCGAGCTATCTGCTTGCAAACCGTGTTATTTTTATCGATAATTATCAGCTCATCGTCATTATCTCGATAATGAGTAAAAGGCCAACAGCTCGTGCACGTTTCTTGAGACGCTTCAATTGCAGCTTTCCCACCTTAATCAAATTTTCTTACAATAATCATCCATATCTCGACTCTTGACGCTAACTGGTCAATTTTCGAATAGTTTTCATCTTTACTATCTAGATTCTTTAATATCTGATAGATCACGGTTCTCAAATCAGTAACTTTTCAATGTCTACGAAAACAATTGCAATACATAACAATCCGACTTATGATTGTTCGTTCACGAAATGTTCAACAAAGGAACGAGTATACTCGAAAATAGGCTTCTTGGTTATAATGAAAAAAGCAAGCTTAAAAATCGTTGGTTTGAAGAGTTAGTTAGCGAAGAATCGTAAAAAGCGAACAAATAGACAACGCGATATCAATTTCTCAGCGTAAACGTTTGCGGATTATACGAGAATTGATTGCGTCTATTTACTCGACACGCGTGGCAATGCTTACATGCTCGATTTTCTTCTTAGGGAATATCGGTTATTGATCTGGTAGCCAATAGACTATGGAAAAGAGGGGAAATTTCTCTTTCACGAAGGGGACAAAAATCGTTTCGTTCAAAGATCTGGAAAGTCGAAAAATTGATAAATCGATTATCGCGCTCTCATAAGGTCGGTTGCGCAAATTTGATGAAAAATGTATGAATCGTGTCGAAGCGAGCCACATTTGAGGAGCACGGGATCAAAATACGTAATCATTATCTGGAGTCGACTTATCAGTAGCTATGTAAAACGAACGACCGATCATTACTAGGGAAACGCGCGATTACTGGCCTGCTAGCGTTCCTCGCTCCGATCATAGATGGAAAGCCTTTATGACACAAATGAGACACCAGTGTCAGCCGGTGGTAAACAGTCGATCGGTGATCATCGTACTGCTTAGACGTACGTTAATGGTGCGTGTGTAACCAACGTAACGAGTGTAAGAGTGTATTGGGCGCGAGTGCGATCAACCGGACCTCGATTACACCGTTTGTGTCTGCCAGCGAGTCAGCCTGTCAGCGTGTGCAATTCACGCCTACACCTACGTCTTTATTTACTTTGCTATTCTAACACTTGGCCATGAGAATCGTCGTTTTGACCGACCGATTTCCAACTCTTTAACCGGTCGTCGTTCGATCGTAAACGTGTTACACCTCTTCTTTGCTCGAAGATCGGACGTAAGAATCGGCGGATATGAATTCCAAGTGCGATCCGTACGACTCGAGGTAACGAGATTTATCCTTGATTCGATTTACAAAGGATTCGAGACGCGTGAAGTGAAATAGAATGCAAATTTCCAATCATTTTGAGCATCGTTTCGCGACTCGTGTCTTTCTTACCGACTTATTGCGCCAATGATATAATGAAAACAATTGATATGTCTTATCTTCTGGTTTACGTATTTTTGCTTTTTTAAAATGGAAAACGAAAGGTACTTGAGTCGAGCGAGATAAGGGGACGCTTCTTTTGTTAATTGAGAGTAATTCTAATTGAGAATAATTTCTTGATTCTTCGGGAAAAAGAGACGTCATAGAGTCTATATTGTAGATATACTCTTATATAGTGTAGTATATAGAAATATTTATTGTCGTTTGTCGAAGTTTGATTTTTTCTTATCGTGTTTAAGTTAAACGCGCTTTGTATATTTCCATTTTATCTTCGTTATTATTAATGTGTAAATCAATAAGATTTCATTTTTAGTTTCCATTTTAATATTTTTTATTTATTTCATTTTATCTGGATCATACGTGGCTTAAAATTTTCACTGGATTAACATGTTTGTTTAATGAGAATTAAATTGAAATTTAAAAACTATATTATCTTTTATCAGCATTATTGTATAGTCTATCCTTCAATTCATTCGACTTATGTAGTATATACATCGATCATCATTGGACTTTGAATGAATATCAAATTACAAAATTTTTTTCTTTACTCAGAAACGATATTATTGAAAATTCGTTGAATAAAATTTGTCTGGCAAATAAAGGAGAGATCATTTGTGAAAAATGACGCGTTTTATGTAATTTCACGCCGGAAAGTATATCGATAAAAAAAAGATAAAATAAATATTGCGAAAAAAATAGACGAAAATTACATGCAATAGCGCGAAATGTAAAGATTTTAAAATAACAAATTATCAATACGATAAATTATTCGATTTCGTAACAGTATAACGAAGGAATTGATTCTCAATAAAGTATATTTCGTGGAAATCGAATATCTTAGACATCTCTTCGTCTTCGTTATATCTTATTTTACAATTTTCCTTCTAACAAAGTTTAAAATCGTAGTTAATTTCGTATCACGATATTCATTGCGATATTTTCTTCGTAAAGAGAATAAATTCAAAAACCCATCGTTGTTTTTCCGGAACAATATCGTTCCAACAATCTAGTTGACCAATTATTCGGAAATAAATGGTTCCAACGAAGAAATTATATTCTGATAAGTGTTTGATTTAGAAATCGGTTGAAATTCAAGAGATGGTGTCAAGAAATTGGCAAAAATCCAAATTCGATTACGATCTCTTCCGTATGCTATAAATCGAATGGCGCATAGCAGACTCTTGATCCGCATTATCGGATGTTTCAATGATGATTCTCTCTGAAACGTTCGCAAATACATTCAAAAATGTATTGAATCGATCTTTCTTTATCAATTTTTCAATTCTTATCAATGAGAGCAACTCGTTTTAATCTCAAATCTATTTTCAATTTAAAGTAACTCTTATACAATAAGGATTGTCTCAAGCTCGCGATGAATACATATTTGAAATTTATTTCGAGCCTCGAGATCGTATAAAGGACGCTAATGAACTATTATTTCGATCGTTACATTTTTACGTTCCAATTATAAGTACCGATATCCAGAACGAGTGGTACAACTTTGTTGCAGACAATGCTCGTTACTCGAATCACAAAAAAATATCATATCACAAGGACTTTTTCATTTGACGTTGTTGTGGCTCGTTAATGCACTCATTGGTCTGACGAATCTTCCCGTTGCCAGTCGATCGTTGAAAATTTCGTACGCTTTCAGCAACGTGTATCGCGACGCGTTTTATTCAAGAATGCCTCCAATTCATCGTGTGCATCGATCGTTTGACATTTGTCCTTCGGTGAAACTCTCGAAGACGCGAAGAATTTTAATCCGTTAGATATCAGAAGCGTCGAAACGAATCTGAGAAATCGAATTCCTTCGTATTCGCGGATCCTCTTTCATCTTTTTTTTATATCGGTAGGTACCAGGTTGACCTCCAACAATTAAACAATTATCGTGTGCTCCCCTCATTTATTATCCCACTCTCCCCTTATCGTAACTGCGTACAAGAGGACCGTTCTATTATGTAAAACCACATATATTACATGTACACATAGGTAGAACGCAGATAATCATAGCGTGGTAATTATCCACTTGACAGCTGCTAATCCTCGGCTGACCGTTTAATGTTTGTCACGATCTTGACATTCTGACAATCAGCCTTGAAAACTTCCATATATACTTTCACGAGCTTTGGAGAAATTCAAATGGTCTGAGAAACCTGTTGAAGATTATCATTACGATGTTTATCTTATGAATGATTTGCTATATATATATGTATATATCTAGTTATCGTGATAATGTATCGCATACACGTAAAGAAAAATGTCATGGTTCTATGTGATCATTGAACGTGTTGCAATTTCATTATTATCTTGCATTATATCTTGTGGATTTAGACGATTAAATATTATTAGATAACTAGGAAAGTTTTATCATTTTTTTTTTTGTGGCAAAAAAGGAAGGTGTAAGAGATTTAGAAAATAAACTTTCATTTCATCATAAATATTGATTTTATAAAAGTTATGGTTTTGAAAGATAAAAGATTCTCCTTCAACACTCTCTATTTTTGGTTTTGGAGATAGAAAGAAAAATCTCAAAAAAATGAGAATTAAACAAGAATTTTGTTCCATTTTCTTTTGATTTTTCGTTCGTTCAAAATTATGATTTAATTATCGAAAGGAGAAAACAATAGCAATACATACGCAAAATATATTATGGTAAATATGAAATAATAACTATCCTTGTACACATAATTCGATAATGAACTTTATATTTTCTCACGTTAATGGTTAGCTATTGCAACATACACCTTTGTATATACAACTTTTTTCAATAGCCTTTTAAATCATTCATTGCGTTACGAATTAATTTCCTCTAATTTCATTTTTACGACGGTATTAAATCGTAAAGTGTAAATTGTACGTTATAAAATAATTTATCCCAACACGTATTATGCAAACAACGATATTGCGAAAAAGTTGGAAAAACGATATTAACGAAGAGGATGAAAGAAAGTTTTAAACGAAATCAAGAATAAGTTTTTAAAAATTCGTAAAAATGATCATAGATTCTCGATATTTAAAGCTCTTCGTAAAACGCAAAACGTTCACGATTCCCTCGTAAATTCGCGTCTCCTCGTCGAGTTTTTAAACATCTTTGATATCATTATTATCCTTCTTCGAACATGGTGGATCTGCGTAGTCGAGAAAATCGTATCATCCCAAAAGAGCCGCGCTTTTTACGATGTTTTATTACGCGAGATACATCTGCGACACACGTCGAACGAAACTGCTTCGGCTTAATAATCATCGGCCTCCGTGTCTAGGATCGCACGTGCCAACTGATTACGCGTAATCGAATGACAGTGTTCCCTTCTCGGTAATTTTCGTTCACTTGTTAGAATTTCATGGTACACCTACAATGTGCGATTTTTCCGTTTACTCATGAGTGGTATCGATTCGAAAACAAGCGTCTCTTTAACGCGACCGGATATCGCGCGTTTTCACCTTATCCCCGCTTATCTCGCGAAGATGACGCGAGTCAAATTGGAAGTCGAATCGAGTTCGAAGGAATCAAAGACGATCCGCATGCGATGCGGAATCGCACGCAACTCCTTCTATTGTTTCGCGAATAAAACGTGAGGCATTGTTAACTATTATCGCGATTCGAGTCCACGTCGTGGACAATTAAATTCGTAAGGGAAAAGAATATGGATCGTGAGGGATCGTTGAAGAGTGGTTCGTCGTAAGTTGCTCTGTTTGAAATAATCAATAAATTTCGTTTACGATTCAACGTGTAAAAATTGATTGGAAAGTAAGCGAGAAGAGGAAAATAAGAGAACGTGCATGCTCGTGCTGCAAATAAAGTACTTCCCGTCGAGGAAGTTTAATTATTATAAAATCGCGTGTGCATCGCCGGTAATCGCGAGCAGACGTCTCCGCACATATTCTACAAATCCCACGCGCGTTTTTCCTTCATAAACGCCGCTGAAAGACAAGAATTCGGGGGAACGATTTACACGTTATCGGTCACTTTCGCGTAGAGTCGCGTATATTCGAGAACTGTTAGCGAAGCTGACGAGTTGACGCGGATACCGCTTCGATAATCAGTCATTTTTGAAAATTGCAATTAATCTTGCAACTGCGGCGGATCCAAGGTAACATCGTTTCAATTTTCGTGGAGGGATACGACTATATTATTGGGATGGATGATCGATTTCAAACTTTTGTTGGAACGATTTTATCAAAATTTGTTGTTATTTTAATCATATTGATTTGACGTGTGCGTTGGATTTATTTTTTTAGACCGTGGATGCAGCCGGGTATCGGAGGTGGAGGTGGCGCGGCCCACACAGGTGGGACAGGTGACGACGAAGCTCCGAAAGATCCCGGTGTTCGGATCACTCATCAACCTTTCACCGAGAAAGACTACGAAGGTATCTAAATTTCTTTCGATTTCTTTCTCACCGATAAGAAATCTCTTTCGGTCGATGATCGAAATCTCCTTTCGCATCCTTACGCTTTAATCAGCCCGATAATACTTGTTCATGCGTAGGTCAGCTGGATACACACATCTGGCTTCGTTGTTTGCTCATAAAAAAGCGTTGCTGGTGCTTCGAAAATCATTATTTCGTTCACCAATATCGCGATTCTCGTCTGCGTAGAACATCGGATTCGAGGTCACCTGTTCCGATGCGATCTTGTATCATCGATTTCGATTATTTGACAGGCTTTTAACAACGTGGATCAGTATCGATTATTTTAAGAGATTTAAGAAACATGGAAATTTAAAGAGGCAACAGGATAGCAAATATTTGTCCATGTCGAAGATACAGAGGAAATACGTACTTGTAGAGAAAAGACGATAATATGAATTTCTGTTTCTGTTCGCTTGTATGAATTTTTATTATCGATAATCATAGGAACGTCGATTCGAGGAGCCAGTGACGCGAGTTCTCTTTCATCTGCTTCCAGGTCACAGAGCGCACACGGTGTATGTGGGCGTGCATCTACCAGGCGAAAGGAGACATCGTCGTCATCACAAGCACCATCATTCTCAACGTCAAACGTACAGTGCCGATAAGGATAATGTCGACAACGATAGGCCCAGTAAGTTGTCGACGTTTGCATTTCTGTTTCCATATATCTCTTGCTTTTTACTCTCATCTTTTCCCACGTCGCAATCTCGCTCCGTCTACTTATCGGATCGTGTTTCAGCAACAAGACTACAAAACTTTTCCCTCTCCCTCGTTTCTCAATATTGGTAGCCAATCCATAAAATTCTATCGCGACAGATCCACGCCCATCCTTTCGATTAATACGCTACCCGCGCGAGGGCCAATCTAATCTCGTCTCGGCCGATTTCTCATTTTGTTTCTCTTTGGCTAAGGGAGGAACGACATACGCCGGATAATCGATAATCACCGCGAATAGAAACGAGAGACAAATGTCTCTTATAGGTCACGAGTTTTCGAGGTTAAAGTAGTTCGCGGCGCTTTTACACCGAACTCGGTTAATCGCTCTCGTGCTGCTTCGAGAAGATCTACTCTAAACGGCGAAACGAAGAAAGCCTCTCCAACTCGAGACACACGAGGAGAGCTGGAAATTCTCACCAACTTCTCGGCTATTTCGTTCGATCGACGTAAATAGGGATGTTCCGACCGCTAAAAGTTTGCCACGCCGTTCCAAATTAAAGATCGCGGAATAGCGAGGAGATCCGCGCGCTTTCTTTCGCGAAAGTATTGTTAGAGATAAAAAATGAAACGACAAGAATGACGGTAAAACGAAACTGTTGGATGACGAAGGCGCATTCTCAAACGAACCGTATCACTTTGAAAACTATTCCCACCGTTGATTCATTCCCATTAGCGGTGGCCGTGTCGTTCAAGTAGCGTAGAGTGCGCGTGTAAACGTTCCATGGTATGTTGCACTTTGCGGCATTATTGAACGGTATATGGCAACCAGCCAACCACTTGTCACGACTTCTCCGGCTGTTCACCCTATCTTTGGCACACGGGATGCAAGAGGGTGACCGATATCGAGACTCGACAAGGGCCTCAGCCCTTCGAGAGATATCGTGCAGCCATCCTTTGTATCCCTTAGCGAATAGTAGAAAGCGTTATTTATTCTGTTTTTTATGGAAAACGGATTGACACGGGTTGATATGAAATTCGGGTTTCGGAAAGAGCTTTTCGATTGATATTTCGTTGAGAAAATTTTATTTGCATATTTTTTTCATTGTTTGACTTTAATAAAAAGTCAGCTACCTACCTACATTTGCCATGGTTGTTTTTAATCTCTATCCACTTTGGTATTCGGGAAAATGTGTTGCGATCGAGATTTTTAATTTCGTTCGAATTTATGTCGCAATATTTCGTATAAATATTAAAAACCTGGCTCCGGATTGTAGATTTGAGGAGATGATCGTGCTGAAAAAGAAAAAAAAAAAACGACGCTTGTGTCGAATCATCGTGAAATATCAAATTATGAAGAGAGTAATTATGAGAATCGAAATTGCATTAGCGTCAATGTTTGTTGTATCGTTGACGTTTCAGGACAATTGCTGATGACTCGAAGGAGTCGACTATCTAGTATCTGCGATCCCGACGGCGAGATGATACGTAAGCTCAACACGCAACAAAATTTTATGTACTATTTACACGGACACATTTACCAAGAGATCATTCGTACATGAATATCAAGATAGCTTGAAAAATATCGTGATTTATATTTAGATACGTCAGAATTTTACTGCTTAATCATTTAAATGTACTATCGGCGATGAGCCATTGATTTGAAAGAAACTACGTAAACTAATTACCATTCAAGGATATCTCGTCAAGGTTGTTACAATCGCTTCGGCAATTTGGCGGGATGGTATTTAAGTTCGATTAGATTCGTAATTAATATCTCACGTTATAGCGTGATGTATCTCGAACAAGATTAATATTTATCAGATCAAATCGCTCTGTGTATAACTTGTGTGACTCATGTATCATTAATTTGTTTATTACTGTTATATAAAGAGCGTTACAATAGTTAGTGGGATGCGATTAATGCATATTATCTTTTATTAATACAGATATAGTCTTGCGATATATATTTTTTTTTTTCATGGAAAATATTTCGTAACAATTTAAATCGAATGAAATACGAATGATCTCATTAAATATTTTTCGATATCGACACGCGATTTCACTTACGATTCATGCGGTAATTACAGAACAGCTTGTAATTATTCAAAGAAACGATAAAGAAAATGTATATTTTCTTTGTGTACATCTGGTTTTCATGTATTTTCCGTTTCCAACACTTTTCTTAGACGTGTGCATGTGTTCATGCGTCATTGTGCACGCAAAAGTTTGCGTTGATCATTCTGCACTGCTCGATCTAATATTATTCTATTTTTTCAAAGTTTTTTCCAAAGACTCACCCTTTAAACGATTCGCATTTTTAAAGGCGAACGTTTCAACCTTCTGTGAATTATGTATGTTTTACGTTTCTTCCCGATTATTTAACAATATGCACAACATATTTTTATTGTTACTGGAGGCAATGCGCTTTTAGCTGACAGAGAACGTCGTTGCATTGACAAAAAATACATTTATAAAATATATACCAAGGATCATTTGACAATCGTTCAAAATCATACCATGTGTTATGTGTAATGTGTAATCTCGAAATCTTTTTGTCATATTAACGTCATTCAAAAGTCGTTCAGAATCATCTCAGGTCATCCCAAAGTTGTACGAAGATCATTTCAAGGTTGATTCAAAATCATCTCAAAATCATTCGATGTTCGAAATTGTTCTACGGATTATTCTAAGATATTTGAAGATCGCTACTCAACGTCATTTCAAGCAATTTTAAATCGAACAAGTAGTTGTACTACATGTACGCGAATTCTTATCTATGTTTCGTTCGTTTTTTCCTTCATGCAATAAAGAAATTCGCGGTTCACGAAGCAATATCTAAAATTACAGTTACACCCCCAGCCCAGAGGGTGCAATTTATCCTGGGCGAAGAAGTTGGCGACGATGCACACGAATCCCATCCTCTCTTCTCCGAGATGGAGGAGCTCGTCAAGGATGGTGACGAGATGGAATGGAAGGAAACAGCCAGGTAATCTTATTCCCTTGTTAAATTCTATTCCAGATAACGACAAAATTTGTTTTTCCCGGGATAAATATATTCATTTTAACCATAGGTGGATCAAATTTGAGGAAGATGTCGAGGAGGGTGGAAATAGATGGAGCAAACCACACGTAGCGACTCTCTCGCTACACGCCCTCTTCGAATTGAGGAGCCTGCTGTTAAATGGGACCGTGATGTTGGACATGGAAGCGAACAGTCTTGAACAGATTGCTGATTTGGTTCTCGATAATATGATCAATAAAGGCTCGTTGCCGGCCGAGTCGAGAGAAAAGGTACGAGAAAAGGGAGACTCGTGGAGTACATAACTCATAGATAAATGAGTCATATTTCTATATCTCTTGTAATATATAATATAAGTGTAAATTCTAACGAGAAAAGTATTTGGAGAGCAGGTCAGGGAAGCTCTTCTGGTGAGGCATCGGCATCAACACGAGAGACGTAAAGATAACAACATGTCTAGGCTACCTATTATCAGATCATTGGCCGAAATAGGTCGAAATCATTCCTCTTCGAAGAGTAAGTTTGTTATCATCAACTTTTAATCAAGTTTAATTTGATTAACTATTTTATTAAATATATTAATAATTATTTTTATTAAAGATATAAATATTAATATTTAATTGTTATATGTGCGATCTTTTAGAAATCTTTTAGAAATTAAAAATGTCCTTGGATTATTTCGATTCATTTAAATATTTTTTTTTTTCGTATTTTATTTATTTATTTATTTGTTTATTTATTTATCTTGTTTTTCTGTAAATTCCAACATCCATTCCACAAATATTTAACCACTTTATTATTTTTATTCATTAATATGCCAAAGTTGAACAAAAATCGGACATATATCTACGGTATGTGGACCTTGATATCTGAAGTATCCGATGCCATTTCACATTTTCCAAGGTCAATTCACATTAAACGCATGCAAAACGTACTCGACATTTTCAGATTACGACTGTACGTGTGGTTTGCATGCGTTGTTGACGTCAGATTTACAGGAGCGTCGCGGTAGGGACGCCTACGCGCCCTCCGTCGCTCGCAGCAGCAGTTGTCCAAATCCAAACACAGCTCTACTTTCGAAAGAAACGAAAGATTTGAAAGGACCGTATCTTCTGGTTCCAGGTATAACATAGGCTAGACTGTTATAGCAGCCTAGATCGCCTTGGATTACGGTGCTTTCGCAGCTTTCTAACGTTCCTTCTTATTATCCAACTGTGTTCAATCCTCCTCATGTGTCAACAATTAGTTTTAACCTACTAATCAATACCAATTTTTATCCCACGGACGATTTGTATAAACGTGCAAACGTCAAAATTCGTGCAACTTATTTGGTTTAACACGGTATAAAAGAAAATGATTGAAACGGATATATAAATCCATCCTTTTTAATTTGTTTCGATCGTGGTATAAGATATTCACATTTGTTTCTTATTTTTCAATCAGACGAATTCGGCATTCCCCACGTGGTCGGATTCACAACATGGTTCGCGATGTGTCAACTAAAAGGTTAGACTGTCAGGTGGTTATTGTTCATATAAATTTTAATTGATAGAGTATAAAAATCAATGTCTTTCGTTTTCTTGTTATAATTATTATTACACTTTGTATTTCTCTCCATATTTAGTTTGTATTTTTTCTATCTCTTTTCCACTCTTTTGTACATATTATGAAATGTAATGACATAATATCTCCCGATTAACATCTCTTTATCGACGTTCGCGTCGTTTTATTCCTCTATTTTCGTTTTCCTTCCTCTGTGGAATTTTCGATGTTTACAGTAGTTAAATATTGCATAGAGTGGATTTGTTATCGGTCGGGATCGTGAAAACCGATTCAGAAAGAACGCTCGTGTCTGACGAATATCAGTTATTACTACTGCAACCGTAACTAACGCAGCAACGGATTCGCGGGAATACTACAAGCGATACATGTTCTCTCCTGATCGTAAAGTAGAAACGATTCAGAGGAAGTGCACGATCGCGGGAACGCGTAGGTGAAACCTTTACAATTCAACTAATCACGAGGCATGATCTTACGTTCTAATTGTATAATATGCACGATATGACTTAATGTATACTTTTAACTCGATATCATACTTAGTACTACTGTCACACTTTTTTAATCGACTAATATCTATCTTTTCAGAGTTTCGACTAATTTTCCTCTCATTTCTTCGCGATTTTGATTATTATTTAGAAAAAGAAAAAAAAATACTACTACAAATTACGAATTATCGCGAACGAGTTGTGATTTCGAGCGAGTCTCGGGACGCAACTGTTCGCGATACATAATTCATCGACGAAATGGGATTTTCCTCTTCTTCCTTCTTGGGCCCTTCCTTTGTAAATAAAGGACGATCCTGGTGTATGTTTCATGCTCATTTTTAGTGGAGGAATCGAATTCCGCTCCGGCGATCGCCGGCGCAACAAGTCACGGCAGTGGGCCAGCGTTGAATGCGGGTAGCCGTTTCCTTGCTATACCTGGTAATCTCCTTGTTGCTTTATCGTGCTTGCAATTCTCTTCTAACTCTTTAACACATCGGATAATCATCTCGTGACCTTGTAGATTTTCCGTAGAAATTATACAACTATACCATATATATGCGACATATATTCCTGAAAATCTGTGTGACGAATAGCGTCGTGAGTTGTCGGAATCCAACGATTCAGATTATAGAGTACCATTATTGGTACCATCGCTCGAAATAACATCCCTCTATATCGACAAACGATTATCGAGAGCAAGTGAGAACACGGAAAACAAAATCAACTCTGTCCTCGAGTGCTTACAGCTGCGTGGTCAATCTATCGGAAAAGTTTTACCGTATTGGTTACCGTTTGAAAGGGTTGTGCAACGTGGTCTTGACATTTAATAGAAAAAAATTGTTCGTGCACAAAATATATCTTTGAATTGA